AAAAAGCACTTTTGTTTTTGAAATATTTTCGAACAGGGCCCCCCCCAGACCCTTACAAAATAATATATTGCCACCCCCTAGCAAAAGTCCTAGTTGCGCCTCTGTTAAATATGGTGTGAAAATGTGCGTACTGTTTGTCTATTGCAAATTTTATAATTGTTAATTTAAAGGTTCTGATAATTCATTCTTTTTTAGGTTGGCCGCGCCATTTGTTCCTTTGTTAATAAATAATATTTAAAGTTTTAAGTTTACCTTTTACTTCTATATTTTTCATCTTTATTTCATTTTCAGATATATTAACAAAACATGTATCCTCTACAGTGTCAATAGATGTCATCTCAAAGTCCTTGACATCTAATTCTTTCTTCATAATCTCTGCCATTCTATCTGAAATGTAAATGAATGCAGGTCGGGGTCCCATCTATTTAGATCTTTTTATTTATTTGATTAAATTAATGATTTCTTTAGCTTCTTAAACCTGATACAACTAAAGAAAACTAAGCAACCGCAATTACAGAGCTCGTGAAAATTAAACATGATGCAATTTAAAACACCTGAGTCTAAAACTAAAGAATGCGCGAATTTTAAGTTTGAGGTTAAAAGTTCTGTAAAATAATGAGTAGCTACTTAAATATTAAACTTTCTCAATTTTAAATTTGAATTTCCCGAGAAAAATTTTAACCAATCAGAGAAAAGGATTTATGGAGAATTATTATGTAACTATTGGTAATCAGCTGTTTTGTAAATTTTAAATTATTTACGTGACGGAAAACAAAACATATTATCAGTCAAAACCGTATTTTGGGTTTACATGCAAACATAAAACGTGAAATTTATTAAATCAAGGTTTTTACTTTTAAATATATCATAATTAGTTGAATGCCGCTTACCGCTGAACCACAGGGTTAAATATTTAACCTCACGGTTAAAGTTCAGAGTCTAAAACTAAAGAACGAAAAGTTTTGACTTAAATTTTAAGTTCATGGTTAAATGCCACTTCTGACTTAATTTAAACCTGAACTTTAACCGTGAGGTTAAATATTTAACCCTGTGGTTAAATATTTAACTCGCCGAAATCGACGAGTTAAAATTAAAACACAGGTTTAAAATCTTGAAATCCTGCATTTTCCCTATTGTCTATTATTCAATCATCATTCAGCTGAGAATTAGCGGCATTTAACTTCACGATATATTTAAAAGTGAAAACCTTGTTAAAGAAAATTCACGTTTTAGATAAATTAATTTTTGCATGTAAACCCAAAAAACGGTTGTAACTCGAAATATGTTTTGTTTTCGGTTCCGTAATAACAGCTGATTAGCGATGGTTATGTAATATTCTCCGTAAATCCTTTTCTCTGATTGGTTCAGATTTTTCCCGGGAAATTCAAATTTAAAATTGAGAAAGTTTAATATTTAAGTAGCTATTCATTATTTTACAGAACTTTTAACCTCGAACTTAAAATTCGCGCATTCTTTAGTTTTAGACTCAGGTTTAAATAAATTAAAGTGGCATTTAACCATGAACTTAAAGTTTAAAAGTCAAAACTTTTCGTTCTTTAGTTTGACAAATCAGCTGATCTTTAAAAATATGACATCGACGACGACATTTAGACTTGTCTACGATAAGATACAAGCCAACATTTATATTAATCCTACTCAATAATAATTTTCAATGTCTTTTTCATATTTTAACTTTAAAAATTTAATAAAGCTTTACAAAATCCTTTCAAAACATAGATTTCATATTAGATTAACATTTTATACACAATTCGAGGGGGGTTCTCAATTGAACTAGATCGACCGATTGAACTATATGTTCGTTTGAACTATTATTTGATTTGATTTGATTTGATTACTTGCTCTGCATTTGAACTATTTTTCTACTAATTCAGTTTTTAAATTTTTTATAATTATGAGGTTAGGGACCATACAATTAATTAGATATACACAGAAATGTTTCAAATGGACATAAAAATAGTTCAAATTAACTAAAAAATAGTTCAAATGAACATAAAAATAGTTCAAATGAACATAAAAATAGTTCAAATGAACAATGTGTTCATGGAATTTGAAAATGTTTTTTTAATTAGGGGAATTTTTTTACAATTGGGGGCTTTTTTTTGACAAAGTGGCATGAGATGTTTCTCAAAGTATGAGAAGTATTAATCAATTATCAAAAATAGTTCCTAATTATGACTAATAAAGTGGTGTATAAAACTTTAAACATTCTTTACATGAAAACAAAATATTTAGAGAAAAAAATTTGAATTGAATTTCATATCATCTTTTATAATCTTTGATTTAAGCAAAACCTTTTTTTTGTAGTTCAAATTAAATCTAGAAAATTTGTATAATTTATTTAAATCTTAATATTTTTTAAAAAAAAGGTATTGTTTGTGCTCAATTTTACCTATAGGAAGGAGACCAGGTAATAACTACAAACATAAGAGCGAGCATGAACTCTTTCTCTTCGGCTCACCTTACTTTGCACTGATTAAATCTTATGTATACATTTCAGGTAGGCAGTTTATACAGGACTCAACCGTGAACTGAAAACACAATAAATCAGTCCAAGGTTAATTATATGCATGACAATAATAAAATTTTAGGCTTTAAAATAAAACTTTCTCCAGGTTAACTATTAAATTATTTATATAATAAGAAAATAAACTTACAATGTTGATTTGTCCAGAGGTCTGTAGCCTATAGTTCATTAAATTGCACTGCAGTCGAGAACAGAATAACTAAAAATGAGCTTATTTAGTCCGATCGAAGTTTTCATGTGTCACTTCAAATATCCTTTTTCAAGTGGTGACTTTCTCACATTCATCACAAGCATCGTGATTTTTAGATTTATTACCTGTATTTGATCTAGAGGAGGAGCTAGACCAGGGATACAGAATCAGAGCCCTTCCGTGGAGGTATAGGAGGGGAGCAGCAATGTTTCTCGTTGGAGAAACCGGAGTAAAGGAAACAACTAAGCCAAAGTTGTGCAGGTCTGGTACGTAGAGGTATATTGGTCTCTAGAGTACCAGAAGGATATTCTGGAGCATGAGCTGAGGATCCAGAGAACAAGGATGACTTAGCTTCCGGTGATGTCAGAGTCTTGACAACGGAGGTCTAAATAAAATTAATTAGACCGAGTTCCAAAGCTCAAAGGTTGTGAGCTTTGATCCTCACCTTTATATAGACTTCCTTAGACTCAGGATGTCAAGATTGGTAGGTGGGAGTAGAAGAGAACTGAACCATCTCAGATTAGAAGAGAACGGAACCATCTCAGGAGTCAAACACACAGGGGAGATATCTGCATGTTGAAGAGCAGTAGAAATTCTCTGCGAGTCAGTGGAGCAAATCGATGTTATATATCAACAGGACTCGTGCCAGCCTAGCATGAGAATTACGTTGAGAGACTTGTGAGAAGTCAGGATATTATTTAAGCTCATTTTAGATATTTGCAATTTTTCACCTGGTTTAAAGCACTGATACGAGCCCGGAACTATTTAGAGGAATCACAACAATCACAATTATCTACATATATTCTATAAACCATTCGTAGGAATAAAATTTGGCAACATTGCGTAGATAGCATTAAACATTGATTACGGATGCTTTATAGACCTGGAGAAAGAAACATGAATGCCGGTTAGCAGAGTTCAACTAACCCATCGTGTTCTGAAAGATAAACTCATTTATTTTTAAAGTTTTGAGGCTAGATTTTTTAAATAGGCTTTGACGAGACAATATATAGGTTTTGGCTAAATATTATATATATATGTTAAATTATAAAACATTTTAAGCATAAAACTCAGGTTCTGCATTATAAAACAAAATCAGGTTATTCTTTATAAAAATTGGCCTTTAAATAGTTATAAATTAAAAATCTCAATTAATTATATAGAGCTGAACACGTGATTAAATGTAGAAAATTGTGCATGTAGAGTTCCGTGTGATTGATCGATTGTTTGCAGAGAATTCCTGGCTGAACACACTGAGTAACGTCTTGTCGCTGAACACCCTGAACACAATTAGTTTATAAAGATCCTCAGATCTTACATTGTTCAAATCAAAGATTACAACAAAACAAATTAAATTTACTCCAGAAATATTTCTCAAAATATCCTCCTTTCTGTGTAAGAAATGTTTAAATTTTTAGTATAAATCTTATAAACCACTTTATGAGACCATATATGTTTTTAATCATCACAATCAATAAATAAATCTAATCTTTAGTAAAATTCTTATACCACTACGTCAAAAAAAATTGTTAACATAGCGGAGGCTTGGTCTGCATAGTGGAGGCTCAGTCTGCCTAGCAAATGTGGGAGGCTCGTGTCTTGCTTGACAGAGGCTCATGGCGTCCGGGGGTTCCCTCTCTTGTTCAAATGATTAATGGTTTTTACGCAAAAGTTTACAAACATAGATATGCTAATAATGTACAAAGTACTGCATGGGCTTACAGAAAATTGTGTTACCCAATATTTATGACATTTACACAGCAGTTAAAACTTTCAAAAATGGTAATTTTTATAAAAAAAAAAGTAGCATTATATTAAACTTTTGTACATTATTATTATTTATTTAAATAATCAATCAAAATCAAAATAGATTTTCATGTGGTATGCAAGAAATTTGCTATGAAGAGAGGATCGGATTGTCTATTTATGAGTGCGGAGAATAATTGTTTAAAAATAATCTATCTATATATAAATTTGGCTTGTCTGTTTGTATCCAATAAACGTCAAAACGGCTGAACCGATCGGGCCCAAATTTGTTTTGGGACATCACGTGACCACAGGGAAAGTTTATGAATAAAAATTTTTTAAAAATGTGTTTTAAAGGTTTTTAATTTTGTAAAAAAATTTAAATTCTTGAAAATCCACGATTTTTTTTTTAAATCCGCAAAATTTTTTTTTTCTTTGTTTTGAAATGTAAACAAAAAGAACATGTTCACAATTTAAATAGAAGATGGGCGCGAAGCACCCTAAAAGCCTATTATATTTAAATTTATTGGATAGAAAAAGAAAAGAAAGGTTTTAAACTCAACATGTTGTATAAAATTCTATTTTTACTAAATTTCACCAATATCATAAACAACATCTCAATATTAAAGAGTACGGAGACATTTAAAGTACGTCTTCAATACATCCGTTCATTTGGGACGATTCGGACTCAGAGAGTTTATAACCTGGACAAAATAGAAAAAGGAAATATTTAAATGTCGTCTTCGCGAAATTTGTTTTTAACACAATTATACCCTTTACACCACCTTAGTTTGGTCAAGATAAGATATTTTTATTTAAATAAAATACTTTGTTAAAAAGAATAGCTATAATAAATAGCACGATCAAACATTCTAAATTGTAATACGGGTGGTTCGAAACTTAACTCTTTTAAAATAGGGTTCCATCATGTTAATTTTTGATGAGTTAAGACGTACGTATCTTTTCCCGTTTTTAATGAAACACTAGTGGTTCAGAGAAACAAATTCGATCTTATGCGGTAACGTTTTTAGAAGTTAAAAAATATTTTTTTTTAATCTGGCCACGTTTGGACATACCAGATGGTGTAAAAGTCAAGTCTATTCAAGTTGTGTTTACTCTCCGCTAGGTACGGGGTAAAAATCAATTTAGTTTACATTAGCAAATAGCTTTAAATTAATAGGTAATTGCTATCATAATAAATTATGGCGTTTTATTTAATAATATCGTAAAAATATTGCTCAATTAGACATTTTGAATTTATCTGAATTTTTATGAACCCTTGTATAAGATTCAATTGTTTCTCTATAGGTTAAAAATGTTCAGATTTCTAAAGCATTGGTTAAGTTGTTCTTTTTTACTGTGAAACTTTTTCCGTTATCGGAGAGTAAATTTCATGATTAATTAATTAATGATTCTAATAGAAATCAAACCTATTGAGCTTTTAAAAACCTTTAATACCTCCATGTTTATTGTGTTTATTGAGTTATAGGTTTGCTGTTACAACTTTTGGTATATAATTAACTAGGCAAAATATTTTACTTATTTGTTTGCTTTTTTCCCATGGAATAATTCTATTGTCTTTTTTATATAGGGTTACCCACAAAGAATAAGACTGTAAAGACGATCCGATACTCTTTAATTATAGGGTGGTATATTTTTCGACCTACGCAAAACCGCTATACTACACATCCGACCATACAAGCATGAGGTTTTACAGCTGCTGTATGGACTTGTGGCCGCAGTGCTCGGCCCCTAGCCTGTCCTAGCCACGGCGCTCGGCCCCCTAGCCTGTCCTAACTGCAAAAATAAACAGCTGGCGTAGGTCCGATATTGCAGTAGGTCGGAAAGTTAGTAGGTCTGAAGTTCAGTAGGGGGGATGTTGCGTATAGCCGATGTAACATTACCTTAAATAGTTATCACGATTCCAAGGTTAAATTAATTGTCTACTGTCTGAAATGTATTCTTTGTATGGCATATTTATTGACAAGACAGAAAAAGAAACGAGTTTACCGTTGCAGAAAACCATGCATGTAAGGACATTTAAAATTCCGTACAGTCGTCACTGAAGTCTCATCCTTTGTGGGTAAGCCAGTAATTATCAAAAAAAAATATTGAAATTCTATAAACTCGGAGTAATTCGTGGCTTTACCAAGAATATCTGAAAATGCGCGTTAAGTACAGGGTGTCCCAAAAAACATGGGAATTCAGTGACGCAATCGATATCGTCTTTTTAAACAATTCTTTGATATAGTATAATGATACCTACTGAGAAGGCTGTAATCTGTAAGAATTTCATCTGCTATGTTTACAATTTGTTTGTTTATGTTTTGACTGCATACGGTTGAACTTAGAAAAAAAAAAAATTACATTATACAAACTAATTAAACTTGTCAGTCTTCACTATTCATCTTGCGGAGACATTATTGACACATCTTTACAGTGTTTTTCCCTTTTCATAAATAAAATCTAGCACACATAATAATATTATTGTTGACTTTAAAAGTCAATATGATAAAATAAAAGAGATCTAACGGTATTTCTAATCTTTATTTATAAAAACAAAAGGTTATGAAATATTTTCCCGAGTGGGGCTTAAATTGGCTGGTATAGAAATTAATAAAGAAACTATAGACGAATATCGGTTGGAAAGAGTTTGTAGAGCTTCATGATGGTGGTGCAGATCATCAATCTTGACGGCAGGATTTGGCAGGCTTACTTACAATCAGGCTTAGTCTCAGGGAGAGAGATTGTGGACTTATCCTGTATACAGGATAATGGAAGGACGTCTGATATCCGCCCGGATCTCTGGAACATTGTGGAGCGCGGAAGCTAGGTGTAAGCAGTGTCTTCTGCACTTAGTTTTGTATCTGAATCATCATCACAAAGGAGCCAGGGTGGAGTTGTGGATGTCTTGAGTGTATGTGGTTGACTGCCGGGTGGAGCGGGAGCTAAGGTGAGCGGGGATTTGACACATGTGGTGTGCTTGCTTCCTGTGTACACACACATTTAGAGAATTAACGTCGGCATTTGAGTCGGAAAATCGTCTTCCTTATATTTCGAATTTGTTTTAACAATTATGGCTTTT